GGTTTTTCCCCAAAGGGGTTTTTTCGGTTGGGGAGGGGAAAAAAAACTTGGGGGGTAGGGGGGGTTTGAAACGGTAAATTTTTACCCGGTAAACCCAATTGGGGGCCTTTTGCCCCGGGAAACCCCACCCCCAAAAATCCCTTTTTACGTATTTTTTGGGAGCGGGAAATTCCCTCCCCCCCCCCCCCCCCCCGTAACACAGCACCCTTGCCCATGCCCCCGCTTAATATCACTGCTTCGACGGGGGCACGTACCAACCCCCCTCCCCACGAAAAATGGCATGTGTGCACCCGGACCCGCTGCTGCGCCAATACGCCGTTTCTGTCCTGGTCAATGGCGCGGCTTCAGGATATACAGACATGGCAATCACTGGCTGATTCTGATGGTGAAGGAGACGTCGGGTCAATTCCTTGCCCCGGGGCACTACGTTGACTAAACGACTCGCTCAGGCCACCCATCCCTCCTGCTTTTGCCAATACCCTGGCCATCATGCCAACCCCACAGCCACACCAATCTGTGGCGGACTGGGTAATACACCAACGCCACCATCATTGCCGCGCTACGCTGCCGTGGCGCACGGTATTTTGGTGGTACAATCCCTTTGCCCGCAACGGTCAATTGAGTCGACATCCTGTACTGCCACTTTCGCACAAAACAAACTACCACCCCAACCAGGCACGTCGACAGGCAGCGAGCAGTAGCTCAGGAACCCATAACATTGAACGGACGGTACCCCCAATAGTTTCTCTCTCCCCCCCCCCACCTCCCTCTCTCTGGCACAAGTCTCCCAAGGAAAAACAATCAAAGAAAGACTAGTGATTCGCTGACTGAACCGACCCCACTACAAAAACCAAAAACAAACAAGCTTGCGCCGCCCGCCGCCACCGGTGCGGCCGATGAGCTTGATTCTCCGCACCAACATCAGATATATCAACCGAGCCAGCGCAGGGATGGGTGCAGCTCTCCCTGCTGTCGACAAGTGATGCACTTCGACCCAGCCAATCCTGCCCCAACAACCGGCCTAACCAGTCGCGAGACGGTCCACAAGCACGTCATGAATAACCTTAAAATCCGAGCTGAGAATTTCCTCCAGGGTCTTCAAGCTGTTTAAGGAAACTGATGATGATGTCCAGGAAACCCATCTGAGGAACACGGCATTTTAGGTGGAGGGGCGTGTGGGAAGGGCGCATGGGAATGGTGGGAGGAGAGAAAATATCGGAATTTGGGGGGGGGGGGGGGGGGGGCCCAACCCCAAT